GACAGCAAAGGCCTTCAGAGTGACGTGAGACAGCAAAGGCCTTCAGAATAAACTATAAGACAGCAAAGGCCTTCAGAGTAAAACGTAAGACCGCAAAGGTCTTCAGAATAAAATGTAAGACAGCAGAGGCCTTCAGAGTGACGTAAAGACAGCAAAGACCTTCAGAGTGACGTAAGACAGCAAAGGCCTTCAGAGTTAAACATAAGACCGCAAAGGTCTTCAGAATAAAATGTAAGACAGCAAAGACCTTCAGAGTGACGTAACACAGCAAAGGCCTTCAGAGTAAAACGTAAGAGCAAAGGCCTTCTGTACCCTGTGCTTGCAAATCTTATCACCTGACTTCATAATAAGTAAATGCCACATGGTTAACCTTATGAAAAGTATTTCTGGTAATGAAAAGCAACTTTGAATTTTTTATACATTGGGATTCAATGTAAGATTTCAGTAGAAACGTGTTTTGGATTTACTTTCTTTTAAAGTGTGAAAGACACTGGTAATAGTTGATGAGCTTCCACTGGTGGATTTAAGCGGGAGTGTAGCAGGGGGTGGAGGTATGTTATATCATGCCACTGCCTCAAGTGATATAATTTACATTTTTAATGTAAAGAGAGCACTGGGGATGCCAGGGAGAGGATGAAAGGCAGGCAATGTACGAGAGGATCTTTGTAGCTGTCAAGGGAAGAGAAATCTCCCATCTGTCTTTAGTACTTTGTCTCCATGCCCTGGACCCTAGCCTTGACCAGGCTGCCATCATCTCATGGAAACTGAATAGCCTCTCAACTGGCCTCTGCACTTCATGTCACTGAGACATGTCCCTTTCCCTCCGACAGCCTTTCTGTGGCTTCCCATGACTTAGGATTGGTCTAAATGCTTGCTCTAATCTTGTAGGTCTGAGGTGGTCTGCTGAGCATGCCACCCACAGTCCTCCCACAGTGCTCTCCCACTCCCTCCCCTTCTTCTGCCCCCATTTTTCTTTCTGACTCCAGGCAAGTCTAGGCCACTCTCCACCCCAGGGCCTTTTTACAAGCCAGTTCCTTCACCTGGAGCCTCTTTCACGTGTATTCTGTCTGGCTGACAACCCCTCATTCTACAGGCCTTTAATTCAATGTCACTTTCCCAAACAGCCTTTCCTTCATCACCCAACTATCCAGGGTCAGGTTCTTCAGTTTTCTTCTTCATAATGGGCTATGCTTTTCCTCTGTAGCTCTAGGCATCACCTGTAATCATCTAATTGTTTTCTTGTGAGCACAGGAATCTTGTCTGCCCTGTTCACCACTGCGTCCAGGACACATTAATGAGTAGATGTAAATGCAGAATTATCATATGACCCAGCAATTCCACTCCTAGGTATATACCCCAAAAGATTTTAAAACAAATATTCCAACAAAACTTGTTTATAAATGCTCATAGCACCATTACTCACAACAATCAAAAGGTAGAAACGACCCAGTGCACTTTACCTGATGATGGAGAAACAGAATGTGGTGTATCCATGCAGTGGAGCACTCAGCGGAAATGAATACAGTACTGATACAGGGTAGAACATGATGAACCTTGGGAATACTATGCTAAACAGAGGGCCATGTAGGGTGTGATTCCACGGGTATGAAGTGTCCAGAACAGGTAAGTTCTCAGAGACAGAGAGCAGACTAGTGGTTTCCAGGAGCTGGGGGAGTGGCAATGTCATTGGTACCGAGTTTACTTTGAAGATGATAGAAGGATTCTGCAAAAAGGTGATGGTTGCACAACATTGTGAGTGCATCAAATGTCACTAATGGTTCATTTTATGTTGTGTGTGTTTGGCTGCAAGTCCTGAGACTTGTGGAAAAATGATAGAGTGAGTTCATAAAGAAGATCCTCCTGCCTGAGATGTCCCTGTCATTTACACTGTGTTTTCCTGCCCATGTCAGGCAGTGGCTTGCATTTAAGGGTGACAAACTTGGGACTTTTCATGCATTTCTGGGTTTCTATGATTGTAGCTTCCAAATCCACCAGTGTTCCTTACCTCAAATGCCAGGAAGTTGGGATGAACCTCCCCCAACCCACCTCAGTGGTGGGAAAAGCCCACTTCCCTACCATCACATACCTGATGTCCAGTTCCAAGTTACAATAGTGGCAGTAACACTTGGGAGGAAAAAGTGAACCGGAAACAGAGAAGGAAACAGTTGGGGTGAGGCGAGTGAATTCTTTCCCTCCCTCCCTTTCTCCCCATCCCCCTCTCCCTTCTTTCCTGCCCTCACCCTCTGCTCTTTCCCTCCGGTTGTGACATCCCGTGGGCTCTATTCAGCCCGCCTCTCACCACTCCCACCTTCTTCCCCATCTTCCAGCCAGTTCTCCTCCTCCCCAGAAGGAGCACAGTCTCCTAAGTTGGGGTTTCTCAGCCTCGGATTCCCGCCATGTTGACCTGGGTCCTCTTTGTCATGGTGAGCTGTCCTGGGCCAGGTAGGATGTTGAGTGGCATCCCTGGCCTCCACCCTCTAGATGGAGCTAGTGCTCCCTCTTCCAGTTGTCACAGCCAATCACATGGTCCAGACACTGCTGAGTGTGCCCTGGGTGGCAACGTCACCCCAGTTTGAGAACCACTAGCCTGTCACTGTCTCAGGCTCATCTCCCTGGCTGCTCCGTTTTCCTCACTCCTCACGCTCAGCGCATAAGCACTGCTTGTAGAACTGCTGTGCGGCTCTCATCTCCACTGGCACCACCGTATCTCCTGCCCTGGCAGATGGCTCCTCCTCTCCATCTCTCCGCTTCCACTCTCACCTGATTCTGATTCAACTCTCCACAGGCAGCACCGAGAGGGACCCTTTCATAACTCAGAAGGGATCTCACTGGTGGCTGTCCACAGGTTAGAACACACGCTTCCTTCTCGTGTGGTCTGTGAGAACCTTGCATGACCGGGCCCCCCCTGCCCCTCTCAGGTCACATAGATTTTCCTTTGGTTCCTCTAAGGCACTTAGCGTGTTCTTTTCCTGGGGTCAGCTGTGTGGCCTGCTCTGCTCACGGTGGTTGCCCCCAAGCTACTCTGAAGGCAGGGTCCTTCCAGTCTGTCATCTCTATGTCCTGACGCCACCTGCCCGGGGAAGCAGCCCATGGCCCTGCTCACTCTGTGATCGATCTCACCCTGATTTACTTCATGTTTCCTGGAGCTGGCTGCTTGTTTCTCTGCAGTCCTCCTGCTCTCAGTCACTGTCAATCATGCGAGCTCCGGGGACTCTAGGACCTTATGGGCTCTGTCTTCCTCTGAGTCCCCAGCATCTAGGGTGGGTCCTCTGCCCACATGAATATCTGAAGACTGAATGAATGAATGATGCCTTGTTGCTTCTTTCTTTCCTTCCTTCTTTTTCTCTTTCTTTCCTTCCTTTTTCCTTTCCTTTCCTTTCCTTTCTCCTTTCCTTTCCCTTTCCCTTTCTCCCTTTCTTTTCTTTCTTTCCTTAAATTTTTTGAGGCAGGGTCTCACTCTACCACCCAGGCTGAAGCGCAGTGGTATGATCTTGGCTCACTCCACCCTCCACCACCCAGGTTCAAACGATTCTTCTGCCTCAGCCTCTTGAGTAGCTGCAATTACAGGCGCCTGCCACTACACCTGGCTACTTTTTGTATTTTTAGTAGAGACGGGGTTTCACCCTGCTGGCCAGGCTGGTCTCGAACTCCTGGCCTCAAGTGATCTGCCTGCCTTGGCCTCCCAGAGTGCTGGGATTACAGGCGAGTGCCACCACGCCGGCCCGGCTCATGGTTTCTTGCACCCTGCCTTATTTTCACGTCTCTGAGTCCTGCACATGGTGTTTAATCCTCTGGAAGGCTTCCCCGGCTTCTTCTCTTCAATTGGCTGATTCTGTCCTCTCCTTAACCCACAGCGGAGGGGTCACCTCCTGTAGAAAGCCTTCCATGACCCCATGCTTCCCCTAGGCTGCAGTAAGCCCCACTGCCTCCTGCGCTGGCACGTGCTCACGAAGTGGTACCACTCGGTGATCTGGTTCTCTCTGTGGATGCCTGCCTCCCTTGCAATATTAGGACCTGCTCGAAGGTAGCTCAACCATCAGAGTCCCTAGCAACCAGTAAAAGGCTTGGTCCTTATGAACGTCCCCTCGAAAGGGCAAGAGATAGTGACAGAGAGAGGCAGAATGAGTGTATGTATTTCAGAGGAACCCCTGGGGCTGTGTTAGTGCAGAAAGGAGTAGCTTTTATCCTAGTCTAGAGGTGGAAGGGAGGGAAGGAGAGAGAAGGAGGGAGAGAGGAGGGAAGGAAGTAGGGAAGAAGAGGGGGAAGAAGAAAAGGAAGGGAGGGGGAGGGAGAGAGGAAAGAAAGAAGGGCAGGAGGGAAGAAGGATGGGGAAGGAAGAAGGGAGAGGGGAAGGAGAGGGAGGAAGAAAGAAAGGGAGGAAGGCATGAAGGGAGAAGGAGGAAAGAACAGAGGGGGGAAGGAGAGGGAGGGAGGAAAAGGAAGAGAGGAAGGAAGGAAGAAGGGAGGGAGGTAGGAAGAAAGAAGGGAAGAAGGAAGGAAAGAAGAAGGAAGAATGGAATGAGAGTGGAGGGAGGGAGGGAGGAGAGGGTGTTTCACAGAAGGGCTCTCCCACCGTTTCCTGCGTGGCACCTCTGAGGCTCCCTCCGTCCCCTCCTCTTTGCCCCCAGTTCCCTCCTCTTTCCTCTTCCTCTCTCCTTCCTCTCTTCACCCTCCTCCCCTCCGTGCCGGCCTCTTCTTACCCAGTCCCCTTTGTTGTAGGTCACGAAGAGGTAGGTTATCACCATGTAGGCGCATTTCAGGAAGTTCCATGTGTTCCTCCTCTTGGGGGGTGGTTTCCTGGATGGGGTGGTGGCTGAGAGAGGCTTAACTGAAGAGAACCATGGAGATGAGTTATGCTGATGGCCTTCCCTCCCTGCCCTAGAGCTTCCTGCCACTGCTGTATCTCCATTCTGATCTCTAAACTCACACCTCTGCCTGCCTCCTGAGTTGGAATTTTGGTTCACATCCGCCACCATTGCCAGCTTCCCCCTTCTTGGTTACCTCCATACCCCAGACAAACAGTCAGGGATGCCTTTTGGCTGTCTCACACCTCACATCCAAGACATCACCAAGTCTGACCCTGCCTTGCCCAGATTTCTCACCAAACTGTCAGAGGGGTTTGAACCAGAGTGGCTCCATCTTGAATCGGGGCTGGGTGAAATGAGGCTGAACTCTACTGGGCTGCATTCCCAGGAGGTTAAGATCGTCTTAGTCACAGGATGAGAATAGGAGGTCGGCACAAGACACAGGTCACAAAGACCCTGCTGATAGAACAGGTTGCAGTAAAGAAGCTGCCACAACCACCAAAACCAAGACCGGGATTAAAGTGACCTCTGGCCGTCCTCACTGCTCACTGTATACTAGTTATAATGCATTGGCATGCTAAAGGAGACGCCCACCAGTGCCCTGACAGTTTACAAAGCCATGGCAACATCAGGAAGTTACCCAACTTGGCCCAAAAAGAGGAGGAACCCTCAGTTCCAGGGAATCTCCACTCCTTTCCTGGAAAACTCATGAATTATCTACCCCTTGTTTATCATATAATCAGGAAATAACTGTAACTATACTCAATACAGCAGCCTTTGCTGTCGGCCTATGGAGTAGCCATTCTTTTACTCCTTTACTTTCTTAATGAACTTGCTTTCACTTTATGGATTTGCCTCAAATTCTTTCCTGCATGAGGTTCAAGAACCCTCCCTGGGGTCTTGATTGGGACCCGTTTCCGGTAACAAAACCATCACCTCTCCCCCATCCCCAGTCTCAGGCTCTGCTCTTGCTGGCTGCCTCTGCCTCCTCTGCCATACTTTCTCTTTCTCATGAGCGTTAGTAGGGTCACTCTAGCACCAGATCAGACCACGTCGCTTTCTTATTTCAGACCTCATGTGCTGCACGAGTGTTTCTTTCTGTGTAACATTTCCCCCGTCTTTTCATTTTGAAAGTATTACATTCAGAAAATCTGTTTTTTACAGGTAGACCTGTCTGTCTAAAGAGATTTTAAATAAAAAATAAAACATTGTCAGTGTAAAGGCAAATGCAAATCAAAAAAGAAAAAAAGTTAATTCTCCCTGTTGACAATTCAGGAAGCGATTCCTCCCTGTCCCCTTTGCTTAGAGTGTTTACTTTAGAAAACTTGCCACTGCAAGTCTCTATCTCTTCAAAGTGTACACACATCTTTTTCAAAGCTAAGTAAGCCTGCTGCCAGCACTATGACCCAGACAGGTGTTTTCAACGACCTTGAAACCATCCCTTGGAAATGTAAACATTAAGGAAGGTAGTACCCATTTCTCCCCAGCTTCTTGTTGGGAAAGGATGGAGCCTAACTTTGGTGGGCACCCCACTGCTAGTAGCAAATTTACCTCCTGTGAGAAACATATTCGAAGTTTATTTTTGGGCCAGGTGCAGTGGCTCATGCCTGTAATCCCAGCACTTTGGGAATCCAAGGCAGGCAGATCACAAGGTCAAGAGATGGAGACCAGCCTGGCCAACATGGTGAAACCCCATCTCTACTAAAAATACAAAAAATCAGCTGGGCATGGTGGCGGGCACCTGTAGTCCCAGCTACTCAGGAGGCTGAGGTAGGAGAATTGCCTGAACCCAGGAGGTGGAGGTGGTAGTGAGCCAAGATCATGCCATTGCACTCCAGGCTGGGCAACAGAGCAAGACTCCCTCTCAAAAAAAAAAAAAAAGTTTATTTTTCCCTTAGATTAACAAAACAAACACAGATGGCTGCCTCAATAACCAGGTTAATTTCAGATGAACCATGTACAGCAAATAGAGTTGCCAAGTCCTCCTCTTCCTTGAGGACTAGCTGCCGTTTATCTTGAGAGCAGGTATGTAATAAGTTGTATCTGTTTGGCTATATAAAAGGGTGAACATTTTTTTTCTGTCTTTGCAGTCTCTTTGAATATCACGTTCTGGGTTTAATACTTACCCATTAATAAAACTATTTTCTTTCTCTTCTACCTGTGTGGAGAAGATCTCTGGGTCTGGTGGATATTTTTGTGTTTAATTATATGTCACCAACACCAGCCTATCCCAGGCCCCTCAGATATACCCTCCCAATCAAAGGTACACAATCACATCTATAAAAAAAAATGAGGCTCTTCTTTCTTTCTTTCTTTGCAATCCTTTTGCCTATTCTTTCCTTTTCCTTGCCTGGCTAGGACTTGCACTAGATAGAACACTCAGTGCAATGTGAAATGCAAGCGGTGATAGCAAGAACGTCTCAGCTGTGACCTCAGAGGTGACACTCTCTACCCCGTCAGCCCTCTATGTCGCTGGATTCCATGTCTGAGGACTTGGCCAACAACTGGCGAGAAATACTTCTAAAAACCCCAATAAAAATAGCAATACAACAATAAAAAAATACAGAAACATAGCAGTATAGTAACTAAGGAGCATTTACATGGTATCAAGTATTATGAGTAATCTAAGATGATTTCCAGTGTGCAGGAGGCAGGAGGCTGTGCATAGGTTAAATGCAAGCACTGGGCTATTTTGTATCATGGACTTGAGCATCAGTGAATTTTGTTATCTGCACAGAGGTCCTGGACCCAAACCCTGAGGATCTTGAGGATTTTACCTTAAACAGGTTGTTCCTTGTCATTTTTTGGTAGTTATTACTTATTATATTAAGATGTTCCCTTCTACTCCTAGCTAGCTGAGGTATTTTTTTGTTTGTTTGTTTGTTTGTTTGTTTTTTAATTTTGTTTGCTTGCTTGTTTTATCATGAGTAAGGCAGGGCATGGTGGCTCACATCTGTAATTCCACCACTTTGGGAGGCTGAGGCAAGAGCCTCCCTTGTGCCCAGGAATTTGAGACCAGCCTGGGCAACATAGGAAGACCCCCAACTCTTCCAGAAATTTAACATATTAGCTGGGTGTGGTGTCACATGCCTGTGGTCCCAGCTACTCAGAAGCTGTAGCGGGAAGATCACTTGAGCCCAGGCGTTTGGGGTTGTAGTCAGCTGTGATCAGATCACAGCACTCCAGCCTGGGCAACAAAGCTAGACCCTGTCTCAAAAAAAAAAAAATCATGAATAACTGTAAAATCATATCATGTTCTTTTTCTGTATCTACTGAAATAATATGCTTTTTTTATGTTAATAAGGTGGGAATACCATATATTGGTTTTTATCTATTAAACCATTGTTGCATTGTTGGAATAAAGAGAATTTGGTCATGATTCTTTAAACTATCTTGCCAAATTGGATTTGCTAATATTTAGTCTAGGATTTTGCATCTACGTCTGTAGGAAAGAATGGCTTGAAATTTTCCTTTTTCATATTTGTCAGATCTTTTATCAAAGTTACTCAGTCCAAAAATGAGTTGGAAAATGACCGTTTTTAATGTTCTAGAAGATTTCATGTAAGATCAGTGTGATTTCTTCCTTGAGTGTTTGGAAGAATTCACCATTAATGCTGTCTTGAACCTGGAAGACGCTTTTGTGTGGGGAAAGGCTATTTAATTACAGATGACGTTTCTTTAGCAGTTAGAGGATTGTTCAGATTTTTTATATCATTTCATTTGTTTTGGCAATTTGTGGTTTTCTAGGATTTTGTCCATTTTATCTAAACTTCCAATTTTATTGGCATAAAGTTTCTCCAGTTATCTCCTTATTGTTATTTTATTTATGATGTTCTCATCTTCCTTCCGAATATTGGCAGTTTTTTCTCCTCTGTTTTTTCTTATCAGTAATGCCAAAGGATTAAATTTCTATTACTCTTTTCAAAAGAACCAACCGTTAGTGTTCTTCTGGTTTTTTTGTTTTTTTTTTTTAATTTGAGGCTTGCTCAGTTACCCAGGCTGGATACAGTGGCACAATCACAGCTAACTGCAGGCTCCACCTCCCCAGCTCCTCCTGCCTCAGCCTCCCAGGGAGCTGGGACCACAGGCGATGCCACCATGACCAGCTCTACCTATTTTAAAGTGCTCATCTCCATCATCTGGGTCACTTGGAGGCTTGCTGCTGTTATCTGGTTTTCCTCCCTTGGTTTTCCACCCCACAGCCCTGTCACCCAGGACTTAACCTGGTAATTTCTAGGGGGGAAGAGAGGACTCAACACTCCCCAGAAGCAGCAGCTGGGATAAAAATGTCTCCCACTCACATCTGAGTATGTTGGGTCTTCTTGATGCCCATGAGCAGTGTAAAGGGGGCAGGTGGCTTGCAGACTTTGGATACCCTTTGGGAAGGCAGCCTCTCGGGTACCAAAGCCCCTGGCCTTATTACCTGAAATCTTCTAAGGCTTTATCCTAGCCCAGACTGAAGGGACACGCTGTCCTGTAGATGAGGATAGCCCAGACTGAAGGGACACGCTGTCCTGTAGATGAGGATAGCCCAGACTGAAGGGACATGCTGTCCTGTAGATGAGGATAGCCCAGACTGAAGGGACACGCTGTCCTGTAGATGAGGAATGGCGTGACTCCATGCACTCACCTTCCTCCTTGCAGTCACTCGTTTCTTCTGAAAATGAAGAGGAGGAGGAGAAAGAGAAGGAGGAAGAGGAAAGAAAGAAAGGGGGCGAGAGAGGGAGGGAGGAAGAGGAGGAGGAGGAGGAAAAAAGGAAAAGAAAAGAAACCATCAGGTGAATGATGAAGTGGATGGAGACCAAACTCTAAATGGGGCTTCTGGGTGCCTCGAATGAGAGAAGAGAATGCAGTTAGTTTCCTCCGTGTCCCTGCATCCCAGGGACTCTCCTGCCTCAGGACCTTTGTGTAGGACTGTTGGCCCCACAGGGTCGTGAGGTGTTCCTTATGCTGTGCTGAGATGCAGGATCCCAGAAGTAAAGAGACAGGACACTGAAGAACTGGAGATGAGCAGCTGGACTCAGGGGGCCACGCCACCTATGAGCTGAGACAGGCAAGGCCTCGAACACCCAGAAGTGTCTATATTTATTAGGTACAAGCAGGGGGAAGGGTCGTAACTGAGGTCATCATCTATAGGCTTAGTGATAAGGCATACATAATCACGTGAGTGACAAGCGAGGGGGCCACCCCATTATGTCACCTGGGCAGAGAGGTGGGCCGTGCACAGTAGGGGGCCATGCCATGTGCAGTAGTAGAGGATCATGTACAGAAAAGGGGTCCACCCCCATTAGGTCACCGAGGCAAGGAGGTGGGCTGTGTGCAACAGCTGTCGTGCGCAACACATCTTATCTGGGGGCTGGAGACTTCAAAGGGTTTCTGATAGAAGGATACTGTAAGCCAATGCAGTGGGAGCTGGCAGACTTGTCCTCTTCTCCTAAGATATTTATGGGAGGATGATTGGAGCTAGCACAGAAGCAAGAAAAGACTGACAGGGTGTACAGACACTGTGACGTCACACCAGAGGGGTTCTTCTCCCTCGGTTATTTGTGGGATCTCAGGCCTGAGGCCGACTTTCCACAGGAACTGGATGCAAGGTACTACAACTCCTCTCTCAGTAGGAGAGGCTCTAGCTCCAAGCCTGCCATGCAGCGTATGCCCTTTCAGGCAGGAATGCCACCACCTGAGTCTTTGGTTCTCATCCTGGTCTGGCTGTTTTCCCATGTACTGCTTCTGTTCTGTGACTGCTCTAGGCATTCCTCCTACTACAAACTACTATATGGTTATATGGAAGGATTCTATAAATCGGCACTAAATGTGTCAGTACAGCTCCGACTACAATACCTGAATGATTATATAGAAAGATTATGTGGAACTAAGTATGCTAGATATAAGTACTAAGTATGATTATATAAGCTAGATATATGGAAGCAGTAAGTTATACTTCAGGCACTAATTCAATAAACTAATATATGATTATATGTAAAGGATTATATAAAGGAATAGCTGAGTAATAACATTGTAAGATATTCTTCAGGCACTAATTTTGCCTGGGGTTTGCACAGCTCTCCTTCCTCGGTGCCCATGTGGGGGGTTACCCACACCTGTGCACATGCTGTTCTATCTTCCTGGAATGCCCTTCCCCCAGCTACGTCTGCCTCAACTGCCCTTCTTCTTCTTCAAGCTTTTGCTCAAATGTCATGTTCCCCTGACTGCCCTTTAAAAACCTTTTTTTTTTTGAGACAGAGTTTCGCTCTTGTTGCCCAGGCTGGAGTACAATGATGTGATATCTGTCACTGCAATCTCCACCTCCCAGTTTCGAGCGATTCTCCTGCCTCAGTCTCCTCAGAAGCTGGAATTACAGGTGCGCACCACCATGCCTGGCTAATTTTTTGTATTTTTAGTAGAGACAGAGTTTCACCATGTTGGCCAGGCTGGTCTCAAACTCCTGACCTCAAGTGATCCACCTGCCTGGGCCTCCCAAAGTGCTAGGATTACAGGCATGAGCCACCGCGCTCGGCCAAAAAATTTAACTTTTCCCACACTGCGTTTCCATCTCCATTACTCTGTTGTCTTCATAGGACATGACGGCATCCGACAGACCTGTAACCTACTTCTTTATATGTTTTCTCCTCTGATTGGAATACAAGTTCCACTTGGTCCCAGACTTGTATCTGTTTTGTTTTCTGCTGTATCTCCAACACCTAGAATAAGATTTTGTATAGGATAGCTAACATCAATTCATATTTGTTGGACAAATAAAAACATGCTAAACATTTGTGATGCAGACGATGGTGTGGATAAAAAGTGTAAGGTCTGATGCTATTTAAGGCTCCTCCACCATAGTGAAAAGTCAGTACCCATATATTTCTGTGCACAGGAGTGAACGCAAAATAGCATAGTCAGCAGACTTACCATGCAGTACTTGGAGACTCAGCAAACCTAATAAGGAAGACAGGGGCATACAATGCAAGTCAGAGGGAGCAGCATGAGAAATACTTCCAGACCAACAGGTCCAGCAAGTTCACCCCAAGCACTCCTCTTCCAAGAAGCCCAGCGGGATTCCCTCATCGTCCCCTTTCACACTGTCCCCACTGCCACCTCCTCCTGGCTGTAATGTAACTGCCTGTGACTTGTCCATCTCCCCACCTCCATTAAACTGTCAGTTGGAGTGAGGGTGTGAACATGTCAGATCCGTCTTTCAGCTTTCCATCACCTCACATGGCCCCGCCTAGTATTCATACCTAATGCTAGGTATTATAGAACGTTCTTCCCAAACCAGCTTCCCACAAAGTCCGGGGGCATGTACGGAGCGAGGTTTTACCTAGGATCTCTGATGTGGTCCATCCGGAAGGAAATGGGGTGAAGGAAGCAAGACATGTTTCAGGGGAGCAGACAGGGCCCAGAGTGTGGAGTTCCAAGGAGTCATGAAGGAGGCAGCCGCGTGTAGGGAAAAACCACAACATCAGAAGATGGAGGGATAAGCCCTGGGTGGGTCGTGGTGAGTGGTCAGGACGTGTAGAGTTAACGAGGCAGACAGTCGAAGGCTGCATGGTGGGTCAGAGGGGATGGCAGTGCTTTGCAGGACTCTCACAGCAGCTGGGTTAGGCTGGGAGGGAAGCTGCCACGCCGTTCCCATCTTTTTTTTTTTTTTTTTTTTTTTGAGACGGAGTTTCGCTCTTGTTACCCAGGCTGGAGTGCAATGGCGCGATCTCGGCTCACCGCAACCTCCGCCTCCTGGGTTCAGGCAATTCTCCTGCCTCAGCCTCCTGAGTAGCTGGGATTACAGGCACGTGCCACCATGCCCAGCTAATTTTTTGTAGTTTTAGTAGAGACGGGGTTTCACCAGGTTGACCAGGATGGTCTCGATCTCTTGACCTCGTGATCCACCCGCCTCGGCCTCCCAAAGTGCTGGGATTACAGGCTTGAGCCACCGCGCCCGGCCCGCCGTTCCCATCTTTTCTGTTTGGAGACGGAGTCTCGTTCTGTTGCCCAGGCTGGAGTGTAGTGGTGCAATCTTGGCTCACTGCAACCTCTGCCTCCCAGGTTCAAGTGAACTTCCCGCCTCAGCCTCCTGAGTAGCTGGGGTTACAGGTGCCCACCACCACGCCCAGGTAATTATAGTTTTGTAGAGATGGGGTTTTGCCGTATTGGCCAGGCAGGTCTTGAACTCCTGACCTCAGATGATCCACCTGCCTTAGCCTCCCAGAGTGCTGGGATTACAGGTGAGAGCCAATGCGCCCAGCCTTTTTTCTGTATATTTTGTGTCCCTCTAATGTGAGTACCTACATACGTCATCCAAGGGCTGGCACACTCCATCCCTCCAGCTCTTGTTGTTTTCTGAACTTGTTTTCTTAGTAACAGCTTGGTTGGTATATTAATATAATTCACGTCACTTATGAGTCACCCATTAAGTGTACAAGATAGTATTTTTTAGTACATTTACAAAGCTGTGCATCCATCACCACAATAAATTTTAGAACATGTTCATCACTCGAAAAAGAAACCATGTACCCGTTGGCCATTGCCCCCCAAACCCGGTGCCCCTGCACAGTCACTCCCCGTTTCTCTGGGCTCACCCTCCTCTCCCGTGGTCCTGGGCAACCACTAAACTGCTGCTTCTACCTATGGACTTGCTTCCTGTGGACATTTCATAGAGCTCGAGTCATATCCTCTGTGCTTTTGTGTCTGGCTTCTTTCACTGAGCACTATGTTTTCAAGGCTCATTTATGCTGTCTCCTGTGTCAGCACTCTCTTTGTGGCCGAATAACATTCCATTGTATGAATAGACACATTTTGTTTACTACCCATTCATTGGTGGGTGGACATCCTGACACCCGCTTTTGTAGATAAAGTTTTATTGGAACAGAGCCATGCACATTCACAGTGTGTTGGCTACTGCTTTTGTAAATAAATAAAGTTTTATTTGAACACAGCCATGCCCATTCTCTATGTGTTGTCTGTGGCTGCTTTCAGGCCGCAAAGGCAGCATTGAGTAGCAAGTGGCTGCAGAGACCACCTGGCCCTCAAAGCCTAAGATATTTACTATTTGGCACTTTACAGTAAAGAAAAAAAAATTGCTGATTCATCCCTGCTTTATATCACTGAATTCTCAAACAAAAAATATTATCTCCATTAATCAAGTAGGAAAACAGAATCCAAGGAAGTTTGAGTAAGTTATACCCAAATGATAGATGATGGGAGTAGAATTCCCACCCAGGTCTGTTTGCCCTGAAACTCAGGCTGTCTCGGCTGAACCACATGCATCCTGGGTGAATGTGTGGGTCAGGGAGAAAGAGCCCCTGTGCATCGCCGGACACAGAGCTTGGCACCTGGTAGGCCCTTAGGCAGGTGTTCGGGATTTTTTTGTTGGGTTTGGGTTTTGCTTGTTACTGGAGCAGGGCTGGGTCCGCTTTTCGTTTGCTAGGTGCTGTGGGTGCAGCCTCAGGATGCAGGAAGGAGAAGGGCCTGAGGAAAGGAGCAGAAGGAGCAGGACAGAGGTGCCTCCTGCAGACGTGGGGCGTTCCGAATAAACGCAATTGAGGCAGTTTGATAAGAGCCCCGGCTGAACTCTTATCCCATGCCAGACACTTTATTCAGCGGGGTGTTCTCGACCTCCAGACGAGTGACATTTGGGGCTGCATAGTTTTTTTTGTTGTGGGGGGCGGGGTGTCCTGTGTATTGTAGGGTGTTTAGGAACATCTCAAGACTCCCCCCATTAGGTGCCATTAGCCTCCTCCACCACCTCCCCGAGTCCTGACAACCAAAAATATCTCTAGGTGTTGCCAGGCGTCCCCTTAGGGGCCACATCTCCCCAGGTGAGAATCATCCTGCTCACAGCACGATCCTGTTTACTCCTCACAACCTTGTGAGACTGGAACCATTACGTGTGTTGTATAGACCAGGGGGCTGCGCCTTTCAGGAGGTGAGGGCCCAAAGCCCACAGAACTAGAAAACGGTGCAGTAAGGACCTGCACCCACAGCGCACACTCTGCCGGTTCTGCTTTCCTTTCTTAGCTTAATTTTATCGTTTTTACAACACACACAACATAAAATAATAATAATACTTCCAGTGTCGGGATGCGGCAGGGACCTTGTTAGTCTGAGCTGCTTTAACCATGTTCTAGTTTGCACTGTTTAATAGCACCGTTTGGGGATCAGATTGGGCTTCAGTTATTCTCTGCACCTTACTGGCTGTGTGAGCATGAGCAAGCTACTCGCCTTCTCTCACCACCATGTTTTCAGCTGTAAAACAAGGATGATGGCTTGGGGACTATCACGAGTCAAGCACTTACAACTGTGCCTGGTGCCTGGAATGTGCTCTTGAGCTGCCGGTACCCTTTTTCGATTTGTTTTTTCATATCAGGGTGTCTTGGGTTTCATTGAGGCTCCAGCTGCACAGAAGTGGGGTTTGGAGGTAGTCGTGAGGCGTGGACAGGATGATGTCTCAGAGCTGGGGTTTAGATGGCTTTGAATGTGGACCAAAAGAGAAGAGTGTGTCCTCAGCCAAAAGGCAGAATCAACCCGAAAGTCTATCAATGGATGATTGAATTAAAAGTGCAGTCTATCCATATAATGGAATATGACTCAGCCATAAAAAGGAATGCAGCACTGACACAGGCCACAGTCTGGATGAACCTCGAGGCTACGACGCTGAGTGAATGAAGCCAGACACAAAAGACCACACAGTGTATGATTCCACGTCTGTGAGGTACCTAGAATCCTCAAATTCGTAGAGACAGAAAGTGAAGTGGTGGTTTCTGGGCTTGGCTAAGAGTGGACCTCCCTTGGCAGAGATGAGAACGGGAGCAAAATAGAAGGGGTCAAATGTGAAACAAGACTTACGTTTCAATACTGTTGAGATGCCAGGAGCAGAAGATCCAGTGGGCATTGTTGGGCACCAGTGGAGGCACCGAGAGGAGAGGAAAAGAAAGAAGTTAATAACGCCTCCTCCTAGCTCCTCCCACCCTGCTGGTTCTCAAAACAGACCTTCCCAAAAATGAGAAATAAAGTATCTTCCAGATTCAATGGATTAGACTGGGGCCCATGGTGGGTGACTTGAGATGATTCTTTGAGACATTACTCCTTTAGAGATGCATTAATCCAGGTGGACAGAGCCCCAAGTATCCAGTTTCCATGCGGATTAATCTTCCAGAGATTAAGAAGATACTAGAGCATCCCTTTGAGTCTCCAGGGTTCTCTTTCATTTCTCCCCTGAGGGTCAGGAGGGAGAGAGCTTGAGGAAGAAGCAAGGCACTCCTCTTTGGTTCTCTTCTCAGTCACCCTCCCAACAAATATGTACAACTCAGTACTTTCTTGTCTTCTGGGGCAATGGTCCTGTGAGCTCAGCGATGTTATATGCTAAGGGCTCACACACAGTCCTGCATGTAGCCCCAGACCCACCCATACCCCAGACACACCCTTACAGCTCTCCACACAATCTGGGGCTTGCTGTCCACCCTGAAACTCCTTCAGAGAGGGGGGCAGCTGATGGAGGGTCTCTCTCAACTTGTGTTCTACATGGAGAACTATCCGAAGATTCCCTTCTTTTTCTTGTTACCTCTTCTTCCCAACACCTGAATACTTCCAAGTGACCCATAGGAAAGGAAAAATAACTTACTTTTTACTGGAGGAAGTAGCAGAACCAGCATTCAGGGAGTCAGTATGGAAAAGAGTGAGCAAGAGAATAGAATCAGCAGACATGACATTCAGTTATTCCTCCATTCAGTGTTTTAAACTCTTTATGTATTAATTTTCAATAGAGAAGGGGTCTCCCTATGTTGCTCACGCTGGTCTTAAACTCCTGGGTTCAAGCTGTCCTCCCACCTCTGCCTCCCAAAGTGCTGGGATTACAGGCATGAGCCACCGTGTCTGGCCCAAAGATCACCATTTGGGAGGCAAACACAAGAGCTTAGAATTCCATCACAGACATCCTCCTTCTTTGATATGAAGTAGGGTCCTGGACCTTAATTTTAAACAAAGACCCTGACAAGCACTGCTTTAGCTCAGAGGTCAGCAAATGTTTTCCCTAAAGGGTCTGACAGTAAATAGTGTAGGCTTTGCAGGCTACATGGTCCTAGTCACAGCTAGGCAACTCTGCCATTAGAGCACAAAGACAACTACAAATAATACCTAAATGAATGGGTGTGACTGTGTGTCAATAAAACTTTATTTATGAAAGCAAGCAGTGGGCCTGTCTGGAGTTTGCTAAGTCCTGCTTTATCTCAGTAGTTCTCAAACCATCTGAGCCAAATCATCAGAAGCACCTGAGAAACCTTTTGAAAGAACAGATTCCTGGGTCCCACCCCTTGGTATTCTCATGCAGAAGGCCCAGATAGAACACCGATATCTGTCTTTTTGAAAAAGTTTCAGATAATCAGTTTGGAGAAACTTCCCTTTATAACTTGTGTTCCATTTGACCAGTGCTCTTGTAAGAATTCAGTAATATAATAGAGGCAGGTTCTCCAGTATTAGTTTTCTTCAGCTCCTTCTAATGAGCAAAAATAACATGAAATAGATGTACAAGAAACATGTGTGAGGGCCAGAAGTGGTGGCTCATGCCTGTAACTCCCCCACTTTGGCAGGCCAAGCTAGGAAAATCGCTTGAGCCCAAGAGTTCGAGATCAGCCTGGGCAACATGGTGAGACCCCGTCTCTACAAAAAAAGAAAATATCAGCCAGGTATCGTGGTGTGCACCTGTAGTCTCAACTATTCAGGAGGCTGAGGCAGGAAGATTGCTTGAGCCTGGGGTGTCTAGGCTGCAGTGAGCTGTGATTGCACCACTGCACTCCAGTCTGGGCAACAGCGTGAGAACCCATCCCAAAAAAAAAAAAACCAAAAAACCACCCACACACAAGAGAAACATTTGTGTAGTCCAACTATGTGCCATATGGTTTTCTAGGACATGTACTAAAAGATGAACAAATCTTTGATCTTAAGGATCAGTACTCATGAGAAGAGGGGCCTCGTTCCATCTTACCCAAACTAGATAGAGTATAAATATGTCTGTCTTCACGAGAGGCTGCTCCACCATCTTCCTTCCTTGAAATTTCCCCTACCCTCTGTAAAGGGCCTGGCCCCTTTCTCTCCCCAAGATTATCACTTTTCCTTTGGAAGACGAATGGGTTAAGCTCCCTCGCATTGGAGCAATTTCTACACCAAATAAAAAAGATATAGTTTACACTTAGTGAGGTGCTGAAGATGGTTTACAAGAGACAATTACTAAAATTCAGGAATTGTACAAGGCAGCTGTTAGACCCTTAGTAGCCTGAAATCAGGCACGGTCAGAGTATTTACACCATGGGAAATGGCAGTCACTACAAATCAGGGCATCCTTTCTCACTCTCCTCGTGCAGAGGTGGTTGTTAGACATTTACCAGCATAGCACAGCTTAGATTCTTCAGCAGAACCTGTGCTGATGATGCTTCTGATGCCAGGCCAATGGCTAAACACTGGGGCCTGCACCAACCCTTCCCTGACATTTTTTAAAGAGTTTGAAAGCCCAGAATGGGTTATGAGAATCTAATTTCAGAGACAAAGACTGTCACAGTACTTACTTTCTTCTTCTGTCCTATCTGGAGGCAACAATGTAGGCAGCCCAGGTTCCAATGGAGGTGCAGAGTAGAGAGAGAAGTCAACAGTAAGACATGGGTCTCAGACACCACCAACTAAGCATCCCTGACCAGTCAGGACAGCAGAGGTAGAGATGAGGCAACCCAGCTCACTCATTTTATGGGTGAAGGCACAGACTCAACTACTCAGTCACACCTTCTAACAAATGTTTACAAGGCATCTCCTGTGTGCTGGGCATCACACAAGGTGTGGAGGATGCACTGGAAAGCAAAGCAGGCCTGACCCAGATGCTCAGGGAGCTCACAGACGAGTCAGAGAAGCAGGCAGCAAAGGCATCAAAAAGTGGGGTGAGTATTTTGGGTAGACTTGCTGGGTTCCGTGGGAACCTGTAAGGGGGTGATGGTTGCTGACCTTGTGGGGACGCCAGGGGAGGCATCTTGAGGGAAGTTAGGTTGTGTCTGAGACCTGGAAGATGAGCATGGGTTAGCTGGGGGAAGAAATTTGGCAGAGGAGGGAGGAAAGAGTCGCAGACAGAGGGGACAATGTGGGCATCTTCCTGGGCAGGTTGGACCCTGCAGGTGCGGGAGGATTGAAGGAGGCCCACTGTCAGGGGTCTGTTCACCTGCTGGCATTCCTCACAACGTGGTGCCCCTATTGTGGGGAACATCGGCAGGTTAACAGACCCCAACAGTGATACCCAACATGGGGCAATCCCGACAGCAGCCCACCTCAGGGGCACGGTGGTGGAAGGTGACCGTGGCACGAGGCGTGGCTGGAGAGTATCTGCAGCTCAGTGATGCTGCGCCCTGGGAGTCAGCTTAAGGGCCTCAGCCTTCACCCTGAGAACAGTGGAGTGCCACCCGTTAGGACCTGTGCTGCAGTCCTGGCTCTGCCACCCCAGCCTCCTGACCACCAGCAACTCACTCCATCTACTTGTGCCTCAGTCTCCTCATTGAAAAGTGGAGTCATAATTAAGAGACCAACCATCCTGGTTTGCCCAGATGCAAGGGGTTCCCAGGATGCAAGGGTTTCAGAGCTAACACTGGGGATGTGCTGGGGCGAGCTGGTCGCTCTAGATGTTGTGGCATTTACACCTCTTAGAGTAGTTAGAAGGACTAAAAGAATCAGTGCACAGGAATACTTGGAAATTCATGGGCTCATTTAAGGTGCTGAATGAGTCTACTCTTAGTGGCTACCTTGCCTCTGATGCTCTGCCTCCTTCGAGGCCTCAGTTTCCCCAGCTGTTTAGTGAATCAGATGATTTCCAGCCCTGTGAGTCTGTGACTCCTGCCACATCCACCTCGACTCCCCGCCGTTGTTATATCTGACAGTGGCTGCATTAGATTGGTACTTGGTTTCATGGCAGGCACTTCACATGTGGAATAAGAACATTTCGCTTTTTATAAAGTCCAGCTGTTGTCCGGGTGCAGTGGCTCATGCCTGTAATCCCAGCACTTTGGGAGGCTGAGGCAGGCAGATCATGGGATCAGGAGTTTGAGGCCAGCCTGACCAACATGGTGAAACCCCGTCTCTACTAAAAATACAAAAATTAGCTGGGCATAGTGGCGCATGCCTGTAATACCAGCTACTTGGAGGCTGAGGCAGGAGAATCGCTTGAACCCGGGAGGTGAAGGTGGCAGTGAGCCGAGATCGCACCACTGCACTCCAGCCTGAACAACAGAGCAAGACTCTGTCTCAAAACGGTAACAATAATAAAATAAAAAAATAAAGTTCAACCACATTCCAAGGAGGAAGGTTCTGGCACACAGAGGGCTGGTATATATGGGTTGGGTGGATTTTGGGGAACAGGAGTGAGGGAGAATGGAATTATTGAGCTTGTTTAAAGGAGAAGGCTGCAGCTTCACAGGCAATGTGGGAGGGACAAAAGGCGGAAGGAGAAGTAAAGGAGAGGTGAGAAGAGGTGAGCAGAGCGGGGGAAACCGTGTGCTCAAGGTTGGGGTGTTCCTGACACTCTCACCTTTATCAAAACTCAGTAATTCTAGGTTTCTGTAAGATTTTTCCCATAACACGTTTCTGGGGGAAATCCATGGAGGAAAGTCCTACTTCCAGGTTGATGGGCAAACAGAGAAAGTGCATGGTTGTTTAGCCACCTAAGATGGACAGAACTCAGAAACTGTCATCATAGGACTAACAGAAACCACAAGGAGGACTTTGGAGTCCAGAACCCATGGAATGGTGGGGGTGGTGAGGAGCCGAACCCACTTTCACTGGCGCCCTAATATCTGAGTGTTTCTGACATTGTATCATAATCTCACAACCACAGTGCAATGTGTGCTGCTAATGCTGGTTTACTGGGTAGCAGACAGACTTGGCCTGGGTGGTGTGTGCGGGTAAATAATGGAGCCAGGTGGAATTCTGGATGCGTATGTTTTGGGAAGTCTGGCTGGCATTCCCTCTGCTGGGCATCTCTAGCAGTGAGAGATGAAGGCTTAGTGACGCTGAAGAGATCTCAGGGGGACACAGATTCAGCTCTAACTCCTTGGGTGCCACCTGGTGAGAGTTTTTCTCCTTCCAGTTCTCTTCCAACCAGGGGGAAATTCTCAAAATGGCGCCGACTCATCGTTAACTCTTAACACTTGCTAGTCTTCCTTTCTACCAAAGAGCGAGAACAACCTTCACGCAACGAGCCTTGGCAGAAAAGTGTCGAGTTACAGTTTAATGACGTTTTATTTTCATATTTATCTTCACAGCCGTCTCCTTATGACAAGCAGTGTAGAGCCCTTTTCAAGTTCATTTACTTAAGGAAAATGCTGTGTGTCCATTTAAAGAATGATAGACATGGGGGTTCTGGTAGTGCATAGATGCAGCAAGAAATCTTGATGAGGTTCAGTCTATCTGTGAGAAAAATACTGGGGGAGCAACTTTTTTTTTTAGCCATCACATTGTCAAAAGTAAAAAGTGAGATAACATTCCATGTTGCTGAAGGTGTGGGGAAACGGGCGTCCCCACAGGCTGAATATGAGGGTGCAAATGTGTTCAACACCTGTCCACATTTAAAAGGCAGATACCCTTTGACCCAGCCATTTCCCTTTTAGGAACTTAACAGGTACGAATTTGCAAAACTAAAAAAGCCATGACTCTATAAGGATTTCCATCATACCACTGTTTGTAATAACATCAAAACAAAATAAAACTGAAATCAAAATATGTTAGGAATCCCAGTCAACAGGATGGAAGGAAACTAAAAACTAGAATCATATATTAGGAAAAAAACTCAATGTACATGAACCAGAGGCTCATTAAATTATGGGAGTCTACATGAAGCATTTTTCAGGTATCTGAAAGAGGTAAAGTTATATTGCTAAAACACATAATACTTTTAGCTTGAAGAGTTAAGGATGTACATATATGTGTGTGTGACTATTTCTTGGGAGATTACATGTGAAACTAGAAATGGTGCTTGCTTCTAGAGAGCAGGGCCGGGAATGTGGTGAAGAGAATGATTTTGACTTCATTTTATATTCCCTCAATATTTTCCCATGTGCATATGCTATTCATAAAACTTTAAAACTCCACAGCGTAGTAATTACTAGGCAAAATTCTAGCTGTAACCTTATATAGTAATACATATTTTTATTGCATCAAAGCTCAAACAAAACATGTGATTGGATAATGCCTGAAATGATCTATAGACTCTTCATAAAAGCATAAATGACTCAATAAGTCTGCATTATCTTGGAGACAGGAGAAAAGAAAGACGAAGTCCAAAGGACATAATCCCAACACTTACCATCTGGTGACAGTCTGCTCATCAGACCTGAGGAGGAAGACATAACAAATGATGTGCAAATGCAACAGAAGGAAATATTTCTAATTAATAGATTTCCCCCAGTTCAACAGCTTTAACAAACTCTCTTCTTCGGGAAGTGTGGCCATAATGCCTCAGTCATGCCTCATTATTCCCACTTAATCCCTGTTCCTGCCTCTATCAATCATAGAAAGTCCAGGCACGGTGGCTCAGGCCTGTAATCCCAGCACTTTACAGGGCTGAGGCAGGTGGGTCGCCGAGGTCAGGAATTCAAGACCAGCCTGCCCAACATGACAAAACCCTGTCTCTACTAAAAATACAAAAATTAGCTGGGCATGGTGGTAGGCGCCTGTAATCCCAGCTACTCGGAAGCTGAGATGGCAGAATCGCTTGAACCCAGGAAGCAGACCCTAGATTGCGCCACTGCACTCCAGCCTGAGCAACAGAGTGAAACGCCCTTTCAGGAAAAAAAAAAAAATCATAGCAAGCATCACTTGTATTTCCTTGTCTCTGTTTCTCACCAGACTCTGAGTTTATACAGAATGAGCACATCAGATCCACCTCTGGGCTTCCAGGCCCAAGCATGAGTCCAGGTACATACTAGATACTCAGAAATCCTTGCTTAAAATTTCCCACCAAAGTGCACAGTTCAGGGGTGTTGCGAAGTGGCAAGGTATTTACCTACGATCCCTGATGGCAGCCCATCCAGGAGAGTCAGCGTGGTGGCCAGTGTTACATGCGTGGTGCAGAATGTTGTGCCCAAGAGGTTGCAAAGGGGAAGCCATAATCAGAAAAACAAAACAAGGTCAGATGCTGGGGACTGGGAACAGATTGGGAAGTAGAATCCATGAGGGGTCATGCATGGCGAGCAGTCGGGGACTGGGACTCAGGATGCTGTGAGATGATTGAGGACCCCTGTGCATTTGGTGCAGGGAAGAGCTTCCAAAGTAGGAAAACAGATTGGGACAACAATTGTGAACCGCTCTTCATTCATGCTAGGAACAGAAGAAAAGATGAGCCTCGATTGCCTCTAGAAAGAGGGGCCAAGCTCTGTACTTGTATTTACCCCACACCAACCCTCTGAGCTCAGATGTTGTCCCCGTGTTGCTGATGAGGACAGGTGAACCTCCAAAGAATTATGTGATTTGCAAAGACCTGTGCAGCTGGTGAGTGAAAAAGCAGGAACTCAAACTCAGATCTCCCTGACTTCTATAAATCTCCATTTCCTCATCTACAAAACGAGAATGTTAACTGGGACAAGGCATCCTACGTATTGAAGAATCCCATGGAGTTTGCTAGTGGAAAGTGCTGTATTTATGCAGCTCACAACACCATTCTCCATATCCCTTAAATTCAGCTGGTAGATAATGCCTAATGTTGGGAATATTGATGTGGGCATTGAATGGTTGATATCCAGGTGATGCATTTTACTAAGTGGGTAGCCTTGGAATGATCAGTGAATTCTCTGTACTCCGCAAAATGGACATGTTATTTCCTGTTTGGAGCTATGTCAAAAAAGGAAGATAATGCAGATTGAGTACTTAGGGTAGCTCCTGGCTCAAGGTCAAGGTTAGTAAAGTTAGAAATAGTACTATGAGGTAGGTAATAATGACGATGAGGATAATAATATTGCAGTTGTATGTAATGGTGTGCCCGTGTGTGCGTAGTGGGGCAGCGATGTGGACTCAGAAGGAGGTAGTGATGAGGATAATAATATTGCAGTCTTACGTAATGATGTGCCCGTGTGTGTGTAGTGGGGGCAGCGATGTGGACTCAGAAGGA